CTTCATTCCAGCTATTTTATACTGCGAAGCAACTCGACAGTGTAAAATACTAATATTCCATGCAAATGTTTTGAAAAAAAAAACATAAATTGTTCTACTTTTCGATTGTAGGTTATTTATCCGTAAATATCTGTCCCAATCCCAATCAGGCCATGGCATGCCGCGAGTCCGCGTCGCTAGCGTCATGCTATGGCCCGCTTGTCTGCTTTCCCTTCGATCTCTTGGCCCACTCCGACAGCGCGCAATGCAGCGCATACCCCTAGTGCTGCGAGTAAGCAGACTCACGCCAGAGGTTCGGCCGATCTTGAATTTCCAGGAAGACTGTACCACTTCTCTTATTACACCCTTGTTTGCCGAATGTTGATTATTGCTGAAACAGGTAACGTATATGTCGCGGATGCGAGTGTAAAATCTCTTTTTAGAGCAGAACTAGTGACGAGGGTTGCGGTGCAAATTTGCTGCCGAAAAATCTCAGTAGGTTATACAGCTACAACAGTTCTGACTTCCGCTTCAGTCGTCATTGGGTATAGCTGTTGGAAGTATCACTGACTCTAGATTCGCACAGATCCCGCACACTCGCTCAAATGGTGAAGGTTTCCTGCGGAGGTCGGACCCATCATCTACGACAGGCGAAACATGAAGAAAAATTTCTTGGTCTGGAGTCAGGAATTTTATAGTCTCAAAAATTTCAAACCTCTCAAGGTAAAAGGTTCTTCAAGAAAGCTTCAGAATTTCTTGAGCTGGAACTCGCCGGTGCCGCAATGATGGAAAAGTCTGAATGCTTGGAGTGATGTTTTACACAGATACGTTATCGACCAGCTCATCAAAAATCACCGAACTCCAGCGGAGTTTGCCGAAGTTCGCATCGCTCGCACATCATTTCATGGTTCAGAGTGGAAATTTCTGATTCCAAGGGCACCGTTGAATTCAGCTCTCCAAGGCGCACCTTTTGATATATAGAAGTGCCGGTGATATGATAGGCGCACGGTGCTGTCAAATTTCATAATCTTGATTTTCGCTCAAGGTGTTCATCTAGTGTGCCTATTATACTTGGGTCCGAATCGAATAGAAATTCGATCATTCGAATAAAACATTCGAATATATTCGTATTCGAAATTCGATATTCGGAGTTCTTCCATTTTCGAATAATATTCGAAACTCGAATAATTGAGAAAACGGGGTTTCGAATAAAATTCGAAACTCGAATAATCAAAAAACAGGGTTTCGAATATTATTCGAAAACTCGAATAATCAAAAAACGAGGTTTCGAATATTATTCGAAAACTCGAATAATCAAAAAACGGGGTTTCGAATAGATTTTATTCGAATGTTTTATTCGAATGTTTATTCGAATTCGTATTCGAATGTACTCCGTATTCAGATTATTCGACTTTGTTGCAGAGACAAATGCTGAGTATCAAGTTCACTTCGTCCGCGTTTTTTTTTTCGCAAAACTCGGTAATGCATCTTTTGTAACCGGTATACCTTTGAACTGCATGGAAAGTCGCATTCTTCCAACTGCTTGCGACAGTAAAAAAATCATAAGTTTAATTGATGTTTTTTCGATCAGTGAGATTGTTCGCACTGCTACTGGCACCAAATCAGCAAAGAAGATATCAAATTCAAGCTCATGTTCTGAGTTCATACTGAATTGAAATGGCTGTTCTTCTTTTTTTGCATTGCTCATGCTTGCGGTACGCAAAGCCCACACTAGTGAGCACTCTTGCTCGCATAAATCATTTCAAAACTGCCTATTCGTTACCTTAGAGTTTTTTGCGAATTGGTGTATATTAAGTAAAGGACATCGCAGTTGTAGAGCAGGATTAGACGGTTTAGATCGCCGTACGCGATTTGCCAGTTACGAGATGTCTTCAGATGTAATGGCAGTTTACCACAAATGTTCAGCGTGTACAATATACTAAAATGATAGATGCTCTGCATTCTGTACTTTCAGAATAGGTTTTGGACAATTTGAGTATTGCCATACCACGTCGCCACTGAAATGCCTGCAGTATGCCCGGGGTTATAGGGGCATTTGTGCTCGCTTCGCGCAGGAAACCACATGCCTTCGTCTACGACTAGCGTATACCACACAAGACGAAAGTCTCCGATGAACAGGCAATGTATCGTAGCATTTGTGGAATTTAAGTACATATGTGGCCACCTTATTGCTTCAAAAGATCGCACACCTAGCGCTATGAATCCGAACAGCTCGTTAGGTGCTTACACCAAGTTGCAATGTTTCTCATTTTTAGATTTTAGCTCCAGTCAATTTTATCTTTACTCTGCTAAACGTCTTTGAAATCCAGTGGAAGCCTGACAAATAAGGTCTGCTGTCGAACAAAGCCGCAGGATCAAGGTGTATAAATGCGGCTCTTACCCGTGCGGTGGATAACGCGCAAGGATCACGAAGTGCAGCCGCTTACACGACGCGCGCGACCGCTCAAAGCTGGCTGGTGCACCTTCACGGATTATGGACAAAAATTTGCTTTATCGATTTTATCGATTTTTGGAGAAGTTTGAGCTGCGGGGCTGGGAGTTGGTAGAGGGGTAAATGAGGGCGCTGATTAAAAATAAAATTTATCATCGATTTCACCGATTTTTGAAAAAACTTGAGCTAGGAGTTGGTATAGGGGATACTAGGGGGCTGATTATAATTGAATCGGCTTTAGCCAAATATGTCGGCAAGTTTGAGATGTGATTGCTTTAGTTATTCGATAAATCATTCGAATATTTATTCGAAATTCGACCTCCAATGTTCGAATATATTCGATATTCATTCATTCGATAATTTTGATTTTCCGAATTTATTCGAAATTCATTCATTCGATATTTTTGATTTTCCGAATTTATTCGAAATTCAATCATTCGATATTTTTGATTTTCCGAATTTATTCGATATTCATTTATTCGAGATTTTTTATTTTCGAGTTTATTCGATATTCATTCATTCGATGAAAAATTATCGAATTACCCAAGTATAGTGCCTATTTGCACACTGCTAATCTACCGTACTTCACGAAATTGAGCACCTACCGTATCCAAGAGAGCACTCTATCAAAATAGCGCCTCGGATGCATTAGAAGATGCGCCTTACTGAGCCGAGTCAAACGGTGCCCTTCTATAGGATTTGTCCACTCTCAACCAAGATCTTGATTTGGCGATGCGATGCAAACTTCGAAAAACTTCGGTGGAGTTCGGTGACTTTTTTGACGAATTATGAGCGGTACTGCACATGCGCTCCATGCTGTGCGTACTTGAGCTTCCAACGTATTTTTTCCACCCTGTGCCAGCAGACGCGCACCTGTGAGCACCAAATTTTTCATGTGTCTATGAACTTAGGAGTGAAAATGCTAGCGAAAATGAAGGAGATATCGAACTGCTTCCCCATACATCGTAACAAATCGATATATCGATCAGCAGCTGCTTGGCTGATTGTAACGGAATATAATGCAATATAAGATGGTTAAAAAATACGACATAAATAATCTCAAAATTAGAAGCACATTGTTCTAATTGTTACAGGACCAGCTCGTGCCCCCAAAAATCATTACGCTCATCCGTATTTGATGAATCATGGTTTGCAAGTTCTGCCGTCCCTGACTGCAGGTATGAGAATCAAAATTTCAAAATTTTATTATATATTTGGCATCACAAATATACCAGTAAATGTACGTATAAACCCAAAGTTTAACTAGCTGAGCTGTCAGGGTTCCATATTCCGCAAAGCCATTTAGGCAGTGGCCTACTATCTGTTGCGCATATCGTTGAATTTACTGTATCGTTTCTCATGTAATTTGATGTCACCAAATCTGCGGTAACACATCAATTCTGAGGAGGAACAGAAGCACTCGCGTCCTACACTTCGAGAACACATCAGCTTGGGTTACACTGCTTCTCACGCATTTCCGGACCACAGGCCATCCCGACCTTGCATACGATGGCTCCAAAACCATTAAAATCCCAATCAGTGGTCTGAAAGATTTAAAAGCAGTGAGGAAACAAATCACGCTCCGTGAGTCAACTTTGAGCGCATCTTGCTCGACGGAGATGCCGTCTCGAATGGATTTGTGCAGTGGTTTAGTTAGGGATACGCTAATGGGATTCGGTTTAGATCCGGTATACCTCAAATTTGGAGAAACGATGCCTTTACAAATGTTCGCGACATGCCCTTATCGCAAGATGACTCACAAGGGAATGGTCAGAAGCCGAAGTGACCAATCCAAACAAGCTGCATACCTTTCGATGCAGCATGGAACCCTGATTTCAAATCTGTTTTCCATATCTGCAGAATGCCTTTGTAGGAAATTATGAACAGCTTTACTGCGAAAAAATTGTACACAAAAATTGCAAAATTAGACACATTATTGCCCTGCTAGTTCACCTCTAGGTAGGGCCGTATGAAATGACGTAGTTTCATGTCTTGGTCCAGCACTGAGCCGACAATGGCTCTAATGATACGCAGCTTGCTTAAATTGGCCACTTCGATTTCTGATCATTCCCTTGTCAGGCAAACCACCTTCATTCTATGATCGATACTATACATCATCAAAACGCAAGGAAGCACCATCAGGACATGACTTCTACTGAAATGATGCAAATAGAATACTGTACCCTGTTGCTCAAACGAACAAGACGTAAATCTCTCGAAAACTGCTGCGGCAACAATGATCTTGGGCAGAGCTTTACATGAGCAGGAAATGCTCTCGGTAGAAATGTAATGGCTAATCAGATCTAATTCAATGGAAATGTGAACAATAAGGTGGAGGGGCTTGAAAATGAATTGCACAGATCTATTTGCAACTCAGCCAATTTTAATGTTGATGCTTTTACATGAAGGAATGTCTGATTACTCACACAGTGATTGCTGCCTTCCTCCCTACAGTGTGTCGAATGTCGTATGATAGTAATCAACAAGCAAGCGAGATCTCTTTTCTTTACTTGATATATACATAAAATTTATGCACATGCAATAAAGATTAACAAATCTTTATGTAAACCGTAACAACAATAACGAACAGTATTTACGAACGTGGTCTCTCCTTCTTTCCTTTGAACAGGGCAGAAAGCGAAGTGTTAGCGACCTTGACGATCTTGAAACGAACTCCAGGAATATCTCCAACGGCGTGACCAGATCGACCGAAGCCAGAAACAAGCACTTCATCGTTCTCCTGAAATCGTATGTTCTGATAGGAACCAAACTGTTAAAAGAGGGTTCACAACAATTTAACAAGATCTATACGGACTTTATTGAGAACAACGATATTTACACGTCATCCTCACCCAAGAAAGTTCGATTTACTTTCGCTCAATTTGACGGCTGGCAAAGCTAGAGATACTAGCAGAAACCAGTGCTTTTGATGAGCTTCAAAATTGTTACAACGCTGATTCGTAAAATCGTTATCAAATTGTTTGAACCAACCTTTACCTAACGAACGCTAGATGATTTGAACATATTTTCGAAGAAACAGGCGACGTAATAATAAACATGAAAGAAGCTATCCCAACAATTAATAAGTTAGAAGCCTTGGTATAGTTCCCATGGCATGCTCAAAACCTCACACGCTGATCCAAATATTCTTGCTTGCTTTAGATTACAAAGAAATCAATGTAAAACGAGATCAGTAATTTGATTTCAAATCCATCAATGAAACACCGTCATACCGCCACCGCCGAATTACCAATTTCGAGTCACTTGCTAATATACCGCACAAACGGTGATCCATTTGCTGAAGCTAGAAAGAACAGATGTCGACAATTCCCTAATCTCATTGCCACTTTACTTTTACATGACTCTCGGCTCTCATGCATTCCAACATGTTGCAACAATCTTGAGTTCTGACTTTGCTGTTTTTTCAAATGCACAGCTTATAGCCACTGTGAAGTTTTTGTAGTTTCAGAACTCGGTAGACTCGTTCCAAAAGTGTAAGTCACCAAAACCCACGGTTTCCTTTCAAACAGGAACGATATACGTACTTTTTACATCTGAATTCATTACAGTGAAACACAGTGATCAGAACGAATGATCTGAATATGCTTATGAGTAGACTGAAAGCCCAATGTGTCATCATGAGCATAGGCACCCAACAACAGCCAGAACACTTACTAATAAGAAGTGAGAAAGTGTTGCTAATTGTAAGCAGCATGTGCAACTAGCAAATGCTGTGAGATTCCATTGGAAATATTTGCTTCAAAAAAAATCCTGCAGCAGGTATCCAAAACTAGAGTTGCTGCTAATCTTAAGCATTGCACTCGAATAGGACAAGACTGATCCTAACTTGAATAACTCAGCAGTCCTTCAGGTCTGTCAGCGGCACAAAATTTTACACGGAATAAAGATGAATAAGTGGCAAACAAACCTCAACGAAGTTGAGACAACCGTCATTGGGGACGAAAGCTGTGATTTTCTTTCCGTTCTTGATCAACTGCACACGGACGCATTTGCGAATGGCAGAGTTAGGCTGCTTAGCCTCTACACCGCTGAAAGTAGTTCATTAAAAGCTCAGCCTACATAAATAATGACAAAATATCTGCACGCAATTGAGACAGATGTTATCAGCTCATCCACCTCACCCAAAGCAATGCAGTTTATTGTAGCTCAATTTGACGGCTGGCAAAGCTAGAAATGCTAGCAAAAACCAGTGCTTTTGATGAGCATAAATGCAGAATCAAAACCATAAAACGTACATTTTCTCGAGAACGATTCCCTTGGCGTGAGAAGCGCCTCCAAATGGATTGGACTTCCATCGGGTTCCAAGATGTGCCTTTTTGTACGCCTTATCACACCACCTTTGGGACTGGCGATGGATCTTCAATTTACGAGCCGTACGAATTCCCTTCGGCTTTCCCATGTTCTCTAAAAAGATGTGACACTGAAGCGGATCAAGAAACAGCCACTTCTACAAACAGAACAACAACGACAAGATCATGGTACATTGCACTGAAAAGACAAACTTGTTATTCTGAACTAAATGTACGACATCTACTTTGAAAACCATCAGGAATAGGAGAAGTTTTGAAGAAGTTAACCGCGACGTTTAGGCCCGACGGACCGAAAAATGAATGCGCCACTGCCTACAGTAACCGCAGCGTCGATAACCTGCGCATCAGCTGGTGTTAGCGCGCATTTCTGAACCCGTCCACTTTTGTCATGTTGAAGCAGTTTCACTTTCTATTCCTCTTTGTTCAGGGTTTCTCATGAAGATGCTGCTTGTACTCTCTTAGCAAGACCATTTCCATTTCATCGATGGGTGAGATATTGTTTTTTACTTGATGTGTATCCTACTTCTCCTTGTTTTTTGTCTTTTCAAACATCGGACATAAATTTTGCAGTAAACATCATGATGGAAAAAATAGATATAGTAGGGATAGAGGGAAAATGGCGTAACAGATTGGTGATGTGGATGTTAAGTCTCAGCGTGTCAACGAGAAATCTTCGCGCAATTTGTCTGTTTGATCCCACTCATCGTATATGTCCTTCGTGGATTAGGGGTTGTTTGAATTCGTTGGGTTCTAGCATGATTTCTGCATGTATGGGCATCCCCCAACATTGTACCGTCAACATGGTTGCCTTTCGATCATTTTAGTACGTTAACTCCAGCAAATTTAGGCGCTTATTTAAATTGACATGTTAAAATGTTCGAAAGACAGCCATGTGGATGGTTCTTATGGGAACAATTCTGGGGGATGCACCATACATCTGCGCGGGAAGGAGTACTTACTTACTTAGATACTTAGATGGCCCGTCCTCACGTGACGTGCGGGCCCCAGTACAGAAGTCGCCATTGATCCCTGTCCCTCGCTTCGGACATCCACGATCTTCTTGGTCGTCGTCGGTGGCTGCTTCCATGAGTTCCAGGGGCAAGAATCGTATCCAGCTGATTTCTCAGCTGGTCCATCCGTTCCACGAACACGTCTGCCCATCTCGTCGGTGGTCTTCCTCGAGGACGTTTGGCTTCGCGAGGAATCCACTCAGATGTTCTTAGTGTCCATCTATCGTCCGTTCTTCTCATTATGTGACCGGCCCATCGATGTTTTGCTTTCGCAACGTATTCCGCTGGGTCACGAAGACGGGACATTCTTCTCATATCCGTGCTGCGAAGTCCGACTAGATGTTGCTTGTGTCAGGTCATCTTCAGAAGACTGCGCTCGAGCGCTCTGTGGGTGGTCCTTAAAGCTTTCGACGTGGCTACGGTGTCGGCCCAAGTCTCAGCTGCGTAGCAGAGCGCTGGGAGAACGGTTGAGTCGAACAGGTGGGCACGAAGCTCCGGGTCCGTCAGTTGGTCGGTGGCTTCCTTCAGAGGCCCGAAGGCGGCCCAGGCTGCTCTTCTTCTCCTGTTAAGTTCTTCCCTCAAGTCGTTCTCCATGTTCATCGAACGTCCGAGATACACGTAAGAAGACGTCTCCATGATAGGCCCCGGTCAGACTTCACGCGACTTAATCGTCGCGACTGAATCGCCAAGATTTCCACTCATTTTCATTTCACATTCAAAAATTTCGGTCTGGGAAAGTATCACAACCGAATGCAAGTTGATCGGCATGGAATGATGTTGTAACAGTTGTCTCGTCGCGATTCAGTCGCGACGATCAAATCGTGTGAAGTCTGCCCGGGGCCATAGGGGTGCCTTCCAATTCCATTTCTGCATCTTCGCAAAGGGCGTTCTTCATGAACTGAGTCTTCTTCCGATTTATTCGCAGTCCGATCTTCTTCCCTACTTCGTTTAGTTCCTTCAGCATCGCCTCTGCTTCAGTGATACTGCTCGAGAAAAGGACGATGTCATCCGCAAAACGAAGGTTGGATAGGAATCTCCCATCAACTCGTATGCCTCTCTCTTCCCAGTCTAGTGACTTCATCACCCACTGCAAGGCCGCGGTGAACAGCTTCGGCGAAATAGTGTCGCCTTGTCGAACCCCCTTCCCAATTGGAATGGTTAGGGGGCGATGGAATAGCTGCATCGTTGTTGTACAGTCCTTGTAGCAGTCGGCTAGTGTCCTCACGTAAGCTGGTTCCACTCCTTGATCGACTAGCGCAGACAGGATGGCGTTAGTTTCGACGCTGTCAAAGGCTTTCTCGTAGTCGACGAAGGTTAGGACGAGAGGCAGTCGGTACTCCCGGCAGACTTCTATGACCCTGGAAACCGTCTGGATGTGGTCCATGCAGCTGAATCCTTTGCGAAATCCAGCTTGTTCTTGGGGTTGGGCTTCATCCAGTGTCCTAGGATAATCTTCGTGAAGAGCTTGTACAGCACACTCAGCAGGCATATTGGACGGTAATTTCGAAGATCTTCCCGTTCACCCTTCTTAAAAAGAAGGACGGTTCTTGACGTTCTCCACTGGTCGGGAATCCTCTCCTTCTGAAGGTAAGATGTCAGGTGCGACGCGAGAATCTCGTGTAGACGTTGTCCTCCGGCTCGCAGAAATTCGACGGAAAGATGGTCTGGTCCTGGAGCCGTGGATGTCTTCATGGTCTGAATCGCCGTGCGCACTTCAGCAGGTAGAATTCGTGGTGGTACTTCTCCAGTGGGAACAACGGGCATCGGCACGGGTGTTGATGAGCGGAAGAGGTTGGTATAGAAGTTCTTCGCGATAGATTCCATCTTGTATCGGGAAGAAGTCGGAGTCCCGTCTTCGCTCAATAGTGCAGCCAGCGGTACGTGATATTCACAGAGGTCCCTTCGGCATTTCTTGAGACTTCGTCTTTCTTCGGCTGCTTCCAGTATCTTGGCTTGCCTGTACTTCCTGAGATCCTCCTGCAAAGCTGTTCTGCAACTGGCGTTGGCTATCAGTCGCTCGAAATGGGTTGCATTCGGATCCTGCCTCAGAAATCTTCTTCTTTCGAGCAATTCCTTGGTGGTCTTCGAAATACGTTCCAAGTTCTTCTCAGAAGTCACTGAGGCACATTCTCCGCAGGCTCGCAATCCTTTCAGAAGCCGGTCGTAGTCGTACGTTGGGTCCTCCTCGATGGGCCAGTCACATCTTGATATGAGCTCCTCCAGCCTGTTACCGTCGTAAACAACTTCCTTCCTTCTCGCGGCACTGTGACAGACTTTCTTTTCCAGCCTTCGGCTGAGTCGTATCTTCGCTCGAAGGAGGCGGTGATCGGAGCCACTGCAGAAGGATGGAACTACTGAGACATCGAGCAAGCTCCACCTTCGGTTGGCGAGAATGTGGTCGATCTCCGCGTGAGTCGTTCCGTTGGGCGATTCCCATGTCCACTGGCGATGTTCTTTCTTCATGAAGATGGAATTTCCATGGAAAAGTCGTGCGGCGGAGAGAAGCCCAACAAGACGGTTGCCGTTTTCGTTCCGGAGCCCATATCCAAACTTCCCGATCCTATATTCCTTTTCTAGTGGCATCCCGATTTTCGCATTGAAGTCGCCCACAACATACTTGTAGAAGGACTTTTCGTTGCGGACGACCTCCTCCACGTCTTCGTAGAAAGCATCTAGTTCTGAGTCGTCAGCTGCTGATGTTGGAGAGTAGCAGTTGATGATGCTGATGGTCTTCTGACGTGGAGGGCGTAGTCGTAGGATGGCTAGTCGGGGTGATAGGATCTCGTGCGAATCGACAAGATGGACGATAGATGGGTGGACGACAAAGCCAACACCTCCCACGTTTCATGATGGAACCTTCTCACCACGAATGTTGAGTGTTCCATCATTCATCTGTCGCACGTCCTTCTTCTTGGACTTCGTTTCCTGCAGAGCGATGATGTGGTACTTGATGTGCTCTGCAGCGTCGAGAAGAGCGTGGAGGTCGGCGTTTGTGGAGACTGTTCTGGCGTTGTAGGTGCAGAGCATGAGGCAGTCTCCGTGGCGTGTCGTCCGGGCAGACGTGTCGTTTTTGTCCAATCCAAAAGGCGCCCTGAAGACCCTGACATCAGTCTTGCTACCACCCGGCGCCGTAGGCGGGATCCGATGTACAGGGTTTCTTTCTATTCTTCTAACTGGTAGAGTAATGAAATTTTTCCCCTACAAAAGCAGACTTACTAGGCCAACTCTTGATTTCCACGGGGCGATTGCTGACCCCGGGCTTGGAGCGGGGGGAACCGCCTAGCGACCTGAAAACCAGACGGCGGCGGATCTGGCCTGGCCGGCTCTTAGCTAGGCATCCGGCCGAAACCGGAAACGTCGAACTCCTTCACAGCTTGGGAGGCCCTGCCAGAGTATACACTCGGCTGTGCATCGCAGTTCGACACCCAGTGTCACCCCCACGCCACGATGAGGCGGCCGACCATTGTGGGGGCGGGAAGGAGTTGTATCCTTGAAAACTGAAAGCTATCAGAGGTGCTTGCGACAGCTCGTAAATGTTTGCTAGATTCATTAGTGAGGAAAATGTCGATGCCTAGGCTACTCGAGAAGTTCATAGGGAGCGTGGGGCGGCAGATTTACTTCTACTTTAGAAGCGATCCTCGTTTTAGGATCCACTCTTCAAAGCAGAACTCGAGCAAAAACTCATTGTGAGTTTAGGGATGTCATGTACCGCATTTATCTCACCTTAACCTTGAATGGGTGGTGCCTGCAGTGGAGCTTAGCTTTCTCTTGCTGATAGTAAGGCCCCGGTCAGACTTCACGCGACTTAATCGTCGCGATCTAATCGCCAAGATTTCCATTCATTTTCATTTCACATTCAAAAATATCGGGCTGGAAAAGTATCACAACCGAATGCAAGTTGATCGGCATGGAATGATGTTGTAACAATTGTCTCGTCGCGATTCAGTCGCGACGATCAAATCGCGTAAAGTCTGCCCGGGGCCTAAAGGGACGGGAACGCCCATAATCGGCCGCGGAACTGGTGGGGAAACTGAGTCGCGCCCCAGCGCTAATCGATTGGAGCATGTTATCCTCCGCGCACTTGGAGATTTGGACATAGCAGTCCTTCATGTAGCTGTCTTTTTGTCTGCATTGTTGTGCGGCAACGATACAGCGCAATGAGGTTGATGACTAATTAATCACTTCGCAATGTGCACATTGTAGCGCGACTTCAGCTTGTTCTGATAATTTTGTATAATCAGTAGCTTCGACTGTACTGATGACTGTTATGCGCTTCAACAGTTTTGTTCACTCTTCAGAGATCATAGAAGCAGAATTGCTGCGTTTGTCGCAGGCTCATATGGCTTCTTCAGCTTGCATAAGGTCGGGTATGGATCACCTCCTCTTCAAAAAGGACGGTTATATCGTAACGTCGTAGAATCGTCGCTGTTGCGGGGCTTACATCATGTTTTCAGATGGTTTTGTTTATGTTTACAATACATCTGACGTACCCTTTAGCTCGATCAATGGCATTGCCACTTCAAAATTTCATAACGTAGGACTGAACATACTTTTCCACTTCTTTGAGATTCGGAGTAAAATCTTCAAGGGCGATCTTAGCATAGAGCAACGAAACTGAGCACGCCAGTACTGCAGGTGTCACTAGCCTGCAGTACCGTCATGTTCATGCTGCTAAGGCACGCAGTTGTCACTAGGGGAGGTACTAAGAATCTGCAGTAGGCAAGCATCAACTGCAAACGTCATGACTATTGTATGACGGTAACCGGGTCCAATTTGCAACGCAGGAGACGAACTTTTTTGACCTGGGGTTCTATCTATAGTGCCTTGAGCAACAGTATGTGCTTGCACTAACACAGCAAATTTGATGATTCATAAATCTACGGTGTGGAATCTACGGTGTTCTAATGATCGCTCAGTTAGCTATCTTATCTTGAAATGACTGATTAGCTACCAGAAAAGTCGGAAAAGTGCCAACAATAATTCTTGAAAAGATGTTTGGAGATAGAACATAGGAACTGGGTCGAATTCGTAGATGTTGTATTCGATTCTGTACTGATTGCTCATAGTATTCAAGGATGTCGCTCTGTACTCGATGAATGAGCATACTCTTCAAACTTTTCTAAACCGGCGGACATTTATAGAGCCACAACATATAGATATTTTGCAAGATAAATATCCATCGGAACCTTATTTTTACAGCATCGCAAGATCTGTTCCCTTGATTTCTCGGATCAACTGTGGTAGTACTGATGCTGAACTAGGATTGGATGTTCAAAGCCATAACCAGGCTCAGTTCACGAATTGCAGTGGTTTTTTGACTCACGTACAAGCGCTGGCTTTTCTCAGCGCCTCATGCCTTTTGCCATTAGACTTTGCTATTACCCGTGAAAGTTATGTAGAGAAGTAGCTAGCTCCACAAGAACTTCCCAAAGTTAACACCAGCACAAACCCAAAAAATGCAAATCATGGTTCGCCCAAGTTCGGAAAGCTGTAAACTTGTTAAAAACCTTAAATTGACTACAGTCAATAACTGTGATGGTATTGGAAATCTTATGTGGAGTAAAAGCAAAAACGATGCCTTATCGGAGTCACCATATTCACTTTGCTTGCTACCTGCGCGAATCGAGAAAATAACGTGCTCTAATCGATTTGCACTGGGGCGCGACTCAGTTTCCCCACCAGTTCCGCGGCCGATTATGGGCGTTCAAGGGACGGGCATACATCATGCGATATTATCGCTTCGCGATTCACCCAGCAAGACAACTGCTACGAATTCATTGTATGCAGATCGTCTTGCACTTCGGTTGGGATAGTTTTCCAACATGGCTAAGTGTGAACATCATAACCGAAATGCAAGATGATCTCCATGCAATGAATTCGTAACAGTGGTCTTGTTGTGGGAATCGCGAGGCGATGAAATCGCTTGATGTATGCCCGGCCCTTGAAGGCAGCGTCCAGGCAAATCTGGACTATGGGGCTCTCACGTGGAAGGTAATCTTGACGCCCTGAATAACACTTTGCCCAACCGGCAGTTCAGATAGTGCACTCGCAGCTAAGATATTAGGCTCCAAACTATGTCCGTAACCGTATTTGCATGGATTCGTGGCGCTTTCGCGCGAGGATCCACGCGAAACTGATGTGGTGGGCCATGAATCCATGCGAATATGGTCACGAGGCATAATTTGGAGCCCAATATCTAGCCGTGAGTGCACTATCTGAGCTGCCGCTTGGACAGATTCTTATTTAGGGCCTCAAGATTACTTTCCACGTGAGAGCCCCATAGGTCCAGATCTGGACCTATGGGGCTGCCTTTAAGGCGGAGCATTGCGGACTTTTCTTAACATGGAGTGGAGAATAGGTCATTTTCATTTTCCACGTTACGATATTGTTTTAACTCCCTCTCTATCGAAAACCATCGCTTTGGGTTTCTACGCTCAGCGTCTGTATGAATTTGGGAGTTGGTGAAACAACACCATATGTTATATTCCAGGCTAAATGGTCTCGCAAGCGTTACTTTATGCTGCTCACGTGTTACCCGTTGCGATCGTGTGGCTAGTCTGTGTGACAGGTTTTCTTCCTTTAATGGAATATGGCCCAGACTGTTTCCGTCATCTAGTGTTGTATGTGAGTTCCCTATAATAATTACTGGATTTGGTCATCAAACGCTAACCTTTAGGCTCCAATCTATGCTGTTCTTCTGCTCGGAGTGAGTTTTACCATAGTTTTACGCCCTCTGTTGATGATAGTTTCTCTTTTTATTATTGGATCAGTCTGTAAATCCTTGATTTGAAATCCTCTCATATCTCTTTTGAAATGTAGCAGCTAATTATAGCTGGGCTATAATGCAGCCGATGCTAAGGCGATATGTCGCAACCTCACTTTGACAGTCGTTGTGAATTTTCAAGGGGGGGGGAGCACGAGGGAAGGAAAAGAAAGTCTTCCCAATGCAACTTTAGTCGGATGGAGTGAAAAAATCTGCTGCAAAAATGTTGTCAGAAAACAGGTTGGTTCTTTGCAAGCATGAGCGAGTTTCCACTTGAAAGGGGAACCAAAAAGTGCAGTACATCCGCAATATACCACATTATCCATCCCAGCACACGTTACCTGGTGAGATACGAGGCTTGCCCTTATGCGGGGCCGCGCCCGGAAGGAAGACTTGTGATTTCCTGCATAGAAACGCATAGAAATAGCGAACAAGATTGTCTAAGAGAATATACCGGTATACATTTGCCACGATCCTTTTTGTCAGCTCACCCTCTCAGTGCCTCACTTTAGCATTTAATTTTGATATCCGTGGCGAGCATGTCATGCACTTTTAGTTTTAGCAAGTTGTAAGATTTTGACTCCTTACACTATAGTGCTTTTTAACTCGGTAACCAGGATTTTGACCTCGTTTCGCCCATTCGATCATCACAAGAGCATGAAACATTTGAGCAAAAGTACGCTCAATAACTCCACATATCTAGAAATCATGATATGCCTGCAGGAAATGTTCAGATAGATCTGTAAGATGCGGTTATAAAATGCCGTTATCGAACCTGCGTACGCGGTGTACGCAAATGCCCCGGTGTCAGGATTTTGTGATTGCACCATAGGCAGGTGCCCGACTTATTCGGTACAACCGGGAGACGGCCCTTCTGAACCCACCGGGTGTGGTGCGGAAGGCGACAATCCCCAATTTTGTGCCTATCAAAAACTCTCTGGTGTTAAAGTGACACCCCGGGGGACTACGGGGGTGGGGAGTGGGGGCAGATACATTACTCAATGCCACAAGTAGAAATCCATGAAAGTCCTTGAGACGGATGATACACAGCCTCCATTTTTCGCCGATTGTCGCCTTTCGCTTGCCCCCCGAACCCACCGTCTACTGCAGTAACCCCGCAAGTAGGACGCGGGCGCCTGCGCTGCGGCCATTGCGGACGAGTCTTCTTCAGGACGCTTTATTTTCGAAAGTCTTCAGCGCACCTCGAAGTTTCCCTTTCCAGCCTTCAGATCTGAACGAAGTAGTAATCCCACCTTATCCAGTCCCATTTCCTAATGCTGCTATTCGCTCCATTTTGCCATTCTATGGCCTAGCTTTATCCTGATCGTATCAATCAGGTTTGTTTTTAAAACTTGTTTTGAATTTCTTGAGTAAATATGAATGGTTCCTCATCTTATTTTGATTACTTTTACTGCCACATTTTGTTTGTGTGCATCCTTTCTGCTTCATGCATTGTTACAAGTTTGAACGTTGTGAACTGCAGGATGCGTCGAGAGGAAAGCACACGCGCCCGACCTACAATTCAGAGTACAACAGATGGTTTTCTTTGAACTCTGTATGATACCTAATGATTTGTAGTTTTTGCTCTAAACGACTTTCGCTTAATACCAAGGCATTTGTTTGGTAGCATCTAGTTTTTTGCGCAAACGCTGCTCCTTTCTCGCTAATTTTTGGGGTTGTGCATGGAACTTCGAATGTTTTCATAGGCCACCGCTTGTAGCTCAAATTTCTGAGCTAGATTCTAGAACTCCTCAGCTCTCTACAGTCACGAAACAGTGATATCCGCTACTTTTCTTGCTTAGAACTAGATTCGAAACTGATAGGCATTTGTATGGTTTACACGAATATAATTATGCAGTCACTATAATGGGCGCAGAATCAAAGTGTTGGCGACAAACTGCATTGACAAGAATCTTGGGTCTCGGGTTATCAGCAGTGATTAAACCAAAAAGTGTGTTTTCCCTGCAGGCTTCGTTTAGTTCACATACACAAATGAATGTGACGATACACGATGCAGCAAGGATTGCACACATGATGCAAGAGTTACCAGTACTCAGTACTCACCTTACTCAACCAAAAATAGGGTACTTCCGTAATCGAAACAAACACATCCCACAGATTTGATTGGAAACACGTCATAGTAAATAGCAGCGAGTTTGCTAGGTAAGACAGCAGAATAGCAGCATTGCGGTTGAATCATGCGTCTACGACATCTCTATCAAGGGTCCGAGGGAGGGAGGTCATTACTGAGGAACTCGTCCGTTTCCGCAGCGCACCTACTTAGGTCAACCGCTCGCCTTATCGAAGCAGCGAATTAAGACGTGACCTCTGAGATGCGCTGACCTATCGCAGCCATCGCGATTAGAGCGGGTTCAGAAGGGCCTACACCCGTACAACCTGTTCATACGGTCCACCTCATCGCTATAGGTCAGTTCAGCTATTTGACCAGTAGGGATTGGGTAAACGGGACGACCATTTAGACCGCATGAGTCCATTATCTACCGTACACTCACCGTAACTTCGCCGAAATCCTATAATGCGAACAAGTCATCAGCACGTGAAATAGCCCGTAGGTCTTTCATTGACCTCATTTTTGTTGATGTGCAACCCTGCGCCAAAGCTAATGCAGAGCTGGACAGCTCGTCTGCGTTGCTTCTAAGGGCCTTCAGAAAACGGGCTTGCGATTTAGACGCGATTCAAGGCCGTATAAGATGGCCGGTATTTGTATTGGCAGAAATTTCGAGACCCGAATTATGGCGGGACAATGCCTCCAAAACAGACCGTATGTCTCTCCTATGACAGATATTTTGTGTAGGTGTATGCGCTAACATCAGTGGTTCATGGCGTTATGACATTCAACGACTGTCGAGATGCTAAGGAAGAGCTGGTGCGGGAAATTAAAGAAGCTCGAGAAGACTTGAAGAAGAAAAAGATTATATAGTTTTATGGAAGCGTGATCTCGTTATACATTCTATGTTATTTTGTTTTGTAAGGCAGCCTTGGCTGCCAAACCTTTGCTTGATTTCGGGCTTGACTTGCTGTGATTTTTTTCACATTTTTCATAACTTATAAACATTATGTATTTGTTACAGACCATATGTCTTGGTTCCACTGCTCTCTGTCATTTGTTGCATGTTGCGCATATGTTTAGAAGAAGTAAATAAGTCTAAATATCGTCTCCATTTTTTTGAGAAATATAGATAGTAGGAGCAAGAAGGGTTATTGCCGATTTCCAAATTCATTCGATGGCGGAAACATTGGGCGCATCTACAGCTGTCTAATGTTAGACTATATTGGTAAAATAATCATTCGTATTGTGGGGCAGTATATCCTTATCAAGAGGTTCATAAATTTCTAATGTTAAGCAAGGCGAGCGACTGCGAGCTGAGTGAGGGGCAAAGTCATCACCATAAGATTTGCAATACACATCTGTTGCAACATGTTGGTTTCTGAAAGTGAAAGATAAATAATCCAAGCAAATTTGGGAAATTACATAACAAGTTGACACAGACCCGACAGCGCAAGAATACCAGTATCTGAAAAAATGGGTCAGGCCCATCTATTTTGCAAAAATCAACCATTTCTAAAAATTGGAATTTTTTGGACATTACTGTCCTCCGAAATGTACCACCGTGAAGCCGATGACTTACTGAGAAATCCGTAAATCTTTTGGAAACTTTTTTCTTCACTACAGCACATGCTCCACCTAGTAGCAAGTTCAGCCAAGCCCCTCCAAGAAGTGGCGGTCCCAGGATTTCGGACCGGGGGGGGGGGAGCACTCGACAAAAATTTTTTCCGTTTGAAGGTGCATGGCGTTAGCCTCGCACTCCGAAAATTTTTTTGGGATGCTTCCCAAAATTTTTGTGAGACCACGACCCCAAAATCAGAAAAAGGGTAACTATCGCCACGCCCGCAAAATCTTTTTACAAGGCTAATTTGAATTTTTAAAAATATTTAAAAAATTATTTCAATTATTTACAGGTATAAACAAGTCACTTGCACATTTTTATAACCCATTTAAGTAACTTTCAGTAACAACCCATTCTCTCGGGGGAGGAAGGGAGGGGGGGGGGGGAGGGCGCCTCCCCCTTCGGACCGTCGTTGCCTCCAAGATATTTTTCGGGAGAGAGGAGGGGGCAGAAGTTTGTTGAACAAAGGGAGAAAGCCACTCTTTTTGAGAAATAATTTCAAGAAGCTAATCTTAATCTTGAAGTTTATGAAAAATTGTTTTGAATATCCACAAGTAAAACAAGTAAGCACGATTACGCAACTCATGTAACTTCCAAAAATTACCACACCCCCTCTCTCTTTGGTCCACCGCTACTGTAAGCTAAGACAAGCTACTCAGTATCCCCAGGAATTTTTATGTTCTATTACCAGCTTCTATCCTGTTCACGCTTACCCTGCATCCTTTCCGCAGTCCATCAAACTCTATGTTCTCATTGGTTTTATGCTTCCGACATATTTCCACAATGCTTTTCCAGTGCCATTAACACGGCCTCTACATGCATTTAACAGAGCGTAAAGACACTTTTTCAGCAACCATGGATTTTAGTAGGAATATAGTGCTTCGTATATTCCGAGCTGGTCTTGCTAATGGAGTCAGATAATGGACTTTTATTATGCTACTCACGATACTCAAAATATAATTTTAGGTACCCTTCAGCTCTCTTACTCTCATTTTGTAAGTATTGAAACCATTAGCGGAGTTCTTAAAGGCACCGTCCACCCTAAGTTGAGGGTGTTGAGTTTTTGGCAGCATATAATAGTAGGGCCCCCTATCAATCCAATGCCCAAGTCGCGGCGCAAAATGCCGCTTTGGAAGCGAGAAAATCGCTTCGAAATAGCGAAGACGCACGAGGACCCCCATCAATGCCCGCCCTCCCCCATCCATGCCCGCCCATTTGTGCGCGCCCATCCAATCATCGTTTCGGAAAGCCGGCCTGTGGGTTCTCCGGAACGGGGACTGTTGGGGTTTTCGAGCATTCTCGACTTCATATTTGGAATCAGGGACATGAGAAGGCCCTGAAACGACAAAAACATAGAAGTCGAAAATCTGGGTGGACGGTGCCTTTAAGTTTTAGATGTCATGCAGCAAATACCGGCATTGCCGGCCGCATTGCTACAATTTTCTCCAGAATTTTTCTGTCAACCTCTGACTTAGGTAATTGAAATCAGCACAATGCATCTTTCAAAGCGGCAGTGGCGGTGCAGTGCCGGTGCTCAAATGGCTTGCAAGGAAAATGGATCACTGGATTTTCTGCGTGACCCTCTGCATTTACCCCCGCTTTACGAGAACTGAAAACAAATGTTGATCAGACCGAGATGTTAAGGAGTATAAACGGGAAATCGTTTTCATCTTTGGCCTGAAGGGGTTGTGACGTCCACCCTATAGATTTCTCATTTGCCCAGTGCAAGCTCTTTTCCACTGATGATGAAAGACGACAGATTGACTGCAATCTGCTTGCGTAAGCTAACCGCGACAAAGAAGACACCGAAATGAAATTGCTGTATGTACAAGAAAATTACGTTAAGCTTACTTCATTCATGCCTTCAATTCTGAAAAGTTGTAACGTAGAAGATGTTCAGCTCGCTTATTCTATTCATTCGCTGGTCATTTTTATACTCGCATGCGCAGTTTGTGAATACGAAGGAGACATTTTATGAATATTTCATCGAGAGATTGGTGGCCATCAAGTCATGCTTAGCAGCAGAATTACATCTCTTATAATATTCCCTGGTAACACATCATCTCTTTCAAAAATGTGCTTGGTTCTAATGAAAAATCAAACTCATCCCTCTCAGTGAACTTTGGAAAGCTTCATAAACTATTTATTTCGTAACTTCTCCGAACATTTTCGAAAAAGCCATTTTGATTTGGATGTGAATATGGTTTGAACAGAATCTTTCAACATTCGAACATCGTTCAAGAGTCCCAAAGAATTCTGTATGAATCTTCATATACAGATGAGATAAGCTTTATCGCAAAATAATGAAAGTTTTGATTTTCCGAAGTGTTGATTTGTTTATCACGGTTTTCAAAGAATTGCACAGAATGCAAACGAAGAAGAAAGCATGAGAAAGTATATAGAAGAGTGGTCTCTTCCCTTCCACCACTCGTGGAAGAAAATAATGCCGGGTGATCGCCACTGATCGCCTTTACATACATAAAATGAAATGTTCATATCGTGTACCCAAGAAGCACAAGTCACCATCATGTTCACATCGACCACGGCTATCAAAAGCGGGTGAAAAAAAAACATAAGCTTTAAAGTTGTACAGAGTAGTATACCTATGTACAAATGGGAACAAGTCTTCGAATACGCTCGGTGCAAACATCAGCACTCGAAATAACTTCACAAACTAGAGCAATTTTCTACGCTTATTTTTCCTTCTCTAATGAATGTAGAGGTTTTTTTTTTCAGCAGTTTGAATCTGGATGCAAACAAGTTTTCCCTACTTAGCGACTATCACTAAAAATTGTGATCTGCCATTTTCAAGTTCTTTGGCCGAAGTAACCTAATTTCCTCATTTTTGTTCACAATGAGAAAATTGGGGTTTCTCACTTCTTCGCGGATTTCATTCACTGCAAAATAACCCAACTTGAGCAAATTGGAGCATCTGTAGGAGCCGCAAAATCGACTGAAATTATTTATTAGCCAACCTAATAGTATTTGTCAGGTTTCATTTGACCTTCTAGAACTCGCATGTTAATGATGAGAGCTAAAGTGAACTAAATATTTTCTACAAACATAATATTGATATCGTCGCGTGCTAGTCCACCGTAAATCTCCCTCTTTCGCCTCTCCCTTCAACCTCACTGCGATTCCTATGAATTTGAGGAGCGAGTTATGAGCTGTTGCCCTGCAGAGGGCATGATGTATGGTGTGCTGGCATTCTATAACGTTCGTATATGCATCTGATTGCCATGGACAAATGGACATGTGCTTTAAGGGAGCCGCGTCTCGGATATTCCAGCTCTCGCAGACATTTCTCGGCTGACGTGGATGCGCTTCTGAATGAGGCGCATCACATCGCACTTCACTACATTTATTTCTTTTCAATTTCCCAGGTAGCAACCGTACTCGCAATTAATTCTACTGGTGCTGTTGCTCGTAATTAGTTTCTTTCGAGAAACCTGCTTTTTCGTAGCCTACACTTCCTGCCCTAAAGAGATTTCGGTCGAGGGATTCATTACATTTCACTTCTTTGCCTCTGGCGAACAAACTTACCACATTCACTTCTGTGTTTCTTTTTCTTTTACAAAGCCAGGCTCGAGATCGAACCTGTAATTTTGTGCATTTCCTAGGAGAAAAACATGCCTTACATTCTTAAACCTGGGTGGCAGATGACCGTGGAGAGGGTATTCTATGTGAGGATAAGGAGATAGGAGAGAACCTATTAAACAGACCGCGTCCTGCGCCTGACATCTCACATCTTTTGACGAGTATAGAAATAATACTAGAGTTACTGAATACAATGAGCCATTCCAGAAATAATTTTGCATTTTTTGAACAAGCGCTTGGTATTGGTAGCTTTCTATGCACCTTTTCATGCTTTTTCATTTGCTTGTGTTTTTATAGTAGTTTAACCAACGAGGCATCAGAAAACTGCCAAAAATACAACCCATGGCGTTTATCATCGTCAAGTTTCGCTTTTCTAATTTATCGAGTCGATCGTCCGAAAACCTCAAGGAACGAACGGATAGACCAACCACAGAATACACATCATCTTTTTGTCCTTCTTATAACCCATCATAAAGTTTTGGTGTAATTTTTTCAATCGAAAACATCAAATTTTGGCAGGCCTTTGGCATAAACGCACCACGCACCAATAGTTCTTAAAAATTTGAAACGTCTCAAAGTGAGTCACGATTCAGAACTACATTTAAGACAAGAGGCATTAAGGATTTAAAAGAAATCGAAATTTTTTTGTGTACAGCCTATAAACCAAAAAACAAACAAAAAGCATCAAAACTTGAGTTATGGAGATTTTGCCCCAGAAGACCTCACGAATCGGACAAAAGGCAACTCTTAAAACAGAATAAAAAGCTGCATCTAATGACACCCATGTTGCTCACAGGTTGATGCTTCATGAGGTTCGAGTTGAGCGAATATGAAAATGAACACATAAGTAATTTTGAAAGTTCAAAAACCAAGCTCTAGGTGCAGCAAATG